GCGCCTCTCCAGTTCCCAAATTCCTACGCGGCCGGAGTGACCGGAAGATGTCTAGCTCATCCTCTACTAGCTCTCCGGGCTAGTGCCGGAGATGCCAAGTGGCAGTGTCCTGCGACAATTTCCGGACATAGTCACCGACTTAAAGGACAACTCACGTACCCGGCGCGTCTCCTCGCCTCAGAAATGGGTCAATGAAATAGGTCAATGCAAGTGTGATCTACAGTACGATGGGTAAGTTTTATGATTTTTTCGCTATCTACCTAACCCAGTACGCGCTAACCACAAGTGTCGGTTTTTAAACAATCTATATACGTGCAACAAAAAAACCCGAGCGTCTGTATTAGAATGTAGTACCAAGGACCAATAATTGGAGAGAGCTGCTAATCGTAGTACAAGACAGCGTAATAATAGGGTGTTTAGTACCTATTAGTGCACCAGATGGCGCGACGAGTGTGTGTGTGTGTGTGTGTATGTCCTAACCGGTTTCGGCTACAGCGACTGCTTTGTTTAGAATTAGAGCTACGGTTGTTTGCTCTTTCATGTGCCCTTAGATGGCTACAGTAGCCACCATCGAGTATATAACCAGAAATAGAGACGAAATAAGGGCCATACATTCCTGGTAACTGGTCAGTGATACATTACTTAAACTCTCGTTTGCACTGAAATATAGACAGCGCCAACAACTGACCTGTGTGTACTCTCCGTACATTCCAAAAATATTCTGTATTTATTGTAATAAAGATATCTCCGACAAAGCCGTGCTGTTCTATTTGGTGGTGTGGGGAAAAACAGCAAAACATCTAATTACAAAACAAACAGAATCTAATTTCATCGGTAATTAAATATGTAGTTTTGCAATTTTCGTCCATTATAGCAAAGCTCAAGTTAACTGGTCGTACTGAAGTGAAACAATTGACGACACCCGTCAATTGTTTCGAATTCGGGCTAACCAATCGGAGCGCAGTTGTCACAGTAATGATATGGCAGAATAGTTTTCAAACAAATTAAATGACATTTCGTCTCTATTTCTGGTTATATACTCGATTGTAGCCACTCTTCTTGAGCCGCCCACGTGCAGGCTTTGGACAAAGTCGAGTGTGCACCACTATCCGACCTCTCTACCGCCACCTGTCGCCGTAGGACTTAGTCTAATTCGGAGTCCTATAAAGCAAAAGCAGTCATATGCGCGGGACATATTTAAGTGCGTAAGTGGTTGCGCAGGCAAACACGCACTCGCTCGTCCTAATTCACCTACATCCAGTGGAACGGGAGGCCGCTACGACTGGAGGTGAGTTCGGATGCTGTCTCTGGCCGACAGCTCCCCATGACCTCAACTGTCACCCTGGGTCCTCAACATTGCCTTGCTGACTCAGCCAAAACCAATTGCCAATTCGCGACGAGTACCAAATAGCTAATTTTGTAACTAATTTGTTTTACATTGATAAATATGGGTATATTAAATATTAAAGCCACTTTAATTTGTAGTGGTAACAAACAAATCAACTAGGTGGCGCTTATTGCACAGATTTTTATGAATAGTGCCAACTATTCTTTTATTTTGTTTAGGATTAGCACCGTCTACCCATATATAGGAAGTGTTTATTTATAAATTAGCTGGTATATTGACACGCATATTTCGACCCCTCCTACGTAAAGTATCGTATGTCACATAGAGTATTATAAAATCCTAGATATCGGTTAGATGATCTATTAGATGATCACTCTATGTGAGTAACGAGCTTTGCCTAATAAAACTAAGAAATGCTAAAGTCACGTGTTATGCTCATTTGAGAGAATTCAAAACTTTAAACGCTCCCCTGTATTTTTTTTGACATACGATGCTTTACGTAGGAGGGGTCAATTTGTCGTAGTTCAGAATCTTAGCTCATGCTTGATCAAAATTTGAATAATATTACATAGCAAAAAGTTATAAATATTAAAGAGGAATTAATTGACATGAATTATTATATATATACAATATAATAATTAACATCAGTATATTATACAGGCTGTATATTTGAAAGTGAGACATACTTATAGAGTGCGTTATATTCCTGATTCTGAACCCAAAAAATAATAAACTGATGAACTTAAACATACTAAAAAAAATTTTTTTTTTATCGACTATTATTTCTAAACAACGTTACTTATCGAAATCTATGCACACCACTATTATTGCTCCGACAGACGCAGCAGCGAGAACAAAGCACAGGTCGGTACTGTTTGCAGAGACAGTGCATGCGCGACCTTGGCCTAGCGAAGACACGTAAATTATTTGTACTTCCGCTCGCCCGAACACTGCGCCGGCGGCGAACGCGCCACTCGCCTGCAAAATGGATATTTATTCTAACGTCGAATTGACTGATATGGTGCGACTTTACGCAATAAGTGATGATAGTGTGAGGCGAGCTATTGAAATGTTCCCAAAATTGGAGTTTACGCGGAGGAGGTGAACAGTGTCGAAGTTGTTGCATGAGAGGATTATCTCAGCATTTTATACTGTGAGACAAAATGTGTTTGTGTTGATCAATTTAAAACAAAACTACGACGTGCTAGTATGCATTGTGAAAAACGGTAGACATTTTCAACACTTGCTCCGTACCACGTAAGTGTAAATAACTAAAAAATCCATAATTGTAAATAATTTGCTTTCACATTTTTAACTACGCCAAAAACCTCAATTCTTATTAAATGACAACTTAATTATCTTTTTTAGTATGTAAAACATTTCGATGATAGTTCATAAGTAAAAAATAATTAACGTAAGCTAAAAGGTAATCATTTCGATAACAGCTTTTTCATCATAACATAAATGAGTAGGCGAGAGAGAGGTGTGAAATCATTGTTATTGTTGCTGTCTCACTCGGCGCTCGCTTGGTAGTATTCCCAATGCACTCGAAATCAAGCGTAAAGGGAATCGGTTTATTCCTATGTACACTCCAAAACAAATTTGTTGATTTATTTTTTGTTCTATCCCATATCCTAATTTATTTTAGCCTATGTTAAGTTGTAACATGATTTAGTATGACATGCACGAATATGTCTCACTTTCATATATACAGCCTGTATATACTTGCCAAAATAATATCAAAAATTAACTGCTTGTGGTCTCACTATGACAGTGGAAATAATGGACATTTCAATTTTCCCTTACGATAAGAAGGTAATAATTTTGTTAATGTATCTAATTTTGAAATGTCGTAAGGGAAAATTTTATAACACCGATAGCATGTGGCCAAAAAACAAAAATCTAACAAGGAGAAACACTACCCGGTTCGCTTTCTACACTTTGTTGCGTTCGTCCACTAGCCGATATTTCACTAGCAGCCAAACTTATACCATGGTTGGACAGCAGATGACTCTTTAGACTGCACTTTTGCACAAAACTCATCGCACACACTTCACAACGGAACCTTCTATCGTTGTTATGTATACGGAGATGCTCGTTCAATGTATACTTTCTACCATATGCTTTATTACATACGTGACATTTATAATTCTTCTCACCGGTGTGTTTGAGCATGTGATTCTTCAAACCCTTGGAACTGAAGAATTTGTGACCGCAGACGGAGCAAATTACATTTTTCTCCATTAAATGCTGTTTTTTTATATGTTGCATCAACAAATTTTTCAATATAAACTTTTTGAAGCAGACATTGCACTTGTATTTATGTTCTACATTGTGAAATTTGGTTAAATGTACATTTTTCATATAGTAACTGCTAAATTCCAGTTTGCAATACGGACATGGGCTTACACGGTTACGTTTCTCATGGCTACATCGTTCATGATATCTTTTCTTCACTAAAGTTGAGAATACTTTGTCACAGTGATTGCACTTAAATGTTCCTTCTTTATGTATAGCGCTATGTACAATCAAGGATCGCTTGGTTGTAAACGAAGTATCACACTTGGGGCAATCAAAGTTCCTGTAATGGCTGTTCATATGCTGAGTTAAAGATTTAAATGTCTCGTACCTTGCTGTACACATACAGCAGTCGTACACGTCACCTATCTTCAGCCTGAATTGCACTACATGGTCTTTAATGTCACTATAGATTACTTTATCATGTGCAGTCGCTAAATGTTCTCTCAAAGACTTTAAACTGTCCATTTCACCATCACACAACAAGCACTTTAAATCGGTTATGTCCATTTTAACTGCATAAGTGTTATGTTCCCATTTCATGTTTAAGTTTGTTTTGTTTTTATGCTCAGCAGCTGTATGAGTTCTTAAGTCTGATGGATCAGGGAATGGACGATCACAGTATGCACAGATGTAACCGAGTAAGTTCCTGCCTTTGAATGGTGTACAATTTGAATACTGCATTATTGTTTTTAAATTGTTAATGTGTTTTTCTTTCACCGCTGAAGCAGCTGGAAGTTCGAGACACTTGTTCAATATCTTCTCGTTTTTAAGTTGGTAACAATTCTTTGGCTTGCTGGCGAGCATTTCAGCGCTAGATGTTATTTTGATCATTTTCATATTTGTTAAACTGGAGTGTGTCTTAGAGCCGTTTTTCTTTATTGTGATCCCGGGCAGGCTGGCTGGAATTAATTAAAATACGTTTTGTAACAAGTTAATTTCAATAAATCAAATAAAGAAAACGTGAAGTCATTCTTACAATTAATTCAGAGAAGAAAGATAAGCCTTTCCACCAGAGATGTGCGAGGTAGCGAGCCGGTGCGAGGATGTGTAGTGGCGTTGTGAAACGGTGTGATGTTTTGCACCAAAGCTGTGCGAGGTAGCTAGGCGGTGAGAGGATATGCAGCAGCACGATGCGAGGATGCGTTATGGACTATTTTCAGCTATGCGCGGGCGGGTTATGGTGTCGTGGAGTGGGCGGTGGCGATGTGTCAATGTCAGTTAATGTCATACTTTCAGTAGCTCTAGTTTCCTGCACCGCACACATGCCTCGCCCGCATCCCTCGCACACACTCCACAAATTAGCTCCGCTAACCCTTTTCCACCCGAGCTGCGCCAAGCGAGGTTAGGAAAATTAAGTAATCCTATTGGTGGATTTTTTCCTCGCACACCGCCTCGCTATGTCGCACATCTTTGGTGGAAAGGCAGCCTTACTGTATACAGAAGGTCCGGGCAGTTGTTCCCAAGAAGGGACTCTACTCCTGGAAACTGTTCAGAAACGATTGATTTACACCCTATATATGGGTGCCAGAAGGACCGGGCAGCATTTGCCAAGAAGGGACTCAACACATAGAAAACAGTTCTGAAATCTGAGTTTTCTCAACATTGAGTATATAACCAGAAATAGAGACGAAATAAGGGCTATACATTCCTGGTAACTCATCAGTGATACATCACTTATATATGTCAACTCTCGTTTGCACTGAAATTACAAATTAGAAAAATGAAATAGTACAGCGCCAACAACTGACCTGTATGTAGGTCTCCGTATATGCCAAAAGTATTCTATATTTATTATAATAAGGATAATATCTCTAACTATGGCGTGCTGTTCTATTCGGTGGTGTGGGGAAAAACAGCAAAATATCTATAAATATTACACAAAAAACGGAATCAAGTTTCATCGGTAATTAAATATGAAATTTTGCAATTTTCGTCCATTATAGCAAAGCTCCCCTATATAAGCAATACTCTTTGGCAATGCTCTCAATGTTAACTAACTGGTCGATTTGAAGTGATACAATTGACGACACCCATTGAGACACCCACCGTCAATTGTTTCAAATTCGGGCTGGCCAATCGGAGCAAGGTTGTTACAGTAATGACCAGTGATCGGAATTGAGGGAGTTTTTATATCGAAACTTTGAGCAACGTTAAGAATAATGTGGACATTCCCTTTTACAAATCCCGGTACTAACCGGAATAGATTTTTTGTTTTAAATTATTTTTAATGATTGCTGCGGAAAGATTAGACTTAAATAAACACTTTTTGTTCTTATTAATTTTTCTCAGCAAGCGATAGTTTTCGAGTAAATGAAGGAGAAAAAATTTATTTACCAAGACTACTGGAGTTAAAAAATTCCGATAGATTTTTTTTTTGTTTTAAGTTGTCTAATGATTGTTTTGGATAGATAAGACATAAATAAATACTTTTTGTTCTTATAATTTTTACTCCGCAGGTTATAGTTTTTGAGTAAATTAAGAAGAAAAAATTAATTTACCAAGGTTAGGACTTAGCGAGCGGCTGGTGAGTGCCTAAAACGAATTTAATAATTTCAGAGCCAGTCCAGTAAAAAAAGTAAAGACGTTTAAATACTTTCTTGAAATAGTTATTTATCTGCATAAAAAAAAATATATTCAACACAAGCGTGGCTATTTTGCATGGTTTAACTGTCACTGGGTTAGCGGAGTAGCAAATTAATTAACTTACATTTTCATCAACATGGACTTCTGCAAAGTAACGCCTGAATCTATTAATTATCTACAAATAATTTATAGATTCAGGCGTTACTTTGCTGGAAATTCATTTTTATTAGTATCTTTAGTTTCGTCTATAAAAAGTTGGACTTGGGAATAATTAATACAAAATAAAATAATAAAATTATATATATTTAAAATATATTTTACTCATGTCTCATTTATAAAAATAAAATATAGCTTAACAAAAAATCGAAATCAACTGTAATAAAAGTCAGGAACATATTTAAAGAGGATATCGACACCCTAGGCGCAAACCACACAAACTGGACAAAACACACATGACGGCAATAGAGCACGTGCGCTGAAATGGCGGATCACTCCTCACGCATTTTTAATTTGCTCCTTATTTCGATAAGCATGAAATTTGAATCGATCGAGAAGACGCACGCGCCATGCCAGCGTTAGAAGCCAGTTCTGTATGGCTTGCGCTAGGGGTAAATGCTTCAAAGAGGAAAAATTATCATTCTTCCTGTACTAGATCTGTTTCCCTTTCTTGTAAAGAATTGAAATAGATAATCATTATTTTTTCTATATTTTCTTCTTTAAGTCTATTTCTTTTTACATTTAATATCCACTTGAAGGTTGAGAAAGATCTCTCAACGTCCACAGACGTAAGAGGCGCAAATTTGAAAAAATTTTCGTAATCTGTTTCATTTCCCTTCACAATTTTTTCACCTATTTCTCTAATTACATCATAATCGGGATTTCGATCTAGTACTTTTTCTATCTTACTATTTATTAATTCGTTTGAGGTCCAACTTAAACAAGACCTGACTTTATCAAAAATTAAAAATGAATCAATTATTGATTTTTTTTTTGTTTGTATTTCAGTAAGTGCTTCGTCTATTATTGTGAAATATTCATTAATAAAATTAAGCTCTGATACGATATTTTCATTTCGTATGACTCTTTTTGCTTTTTTAATTGATATAGACTCATTGCTGTTAAGACTGTTTAAAACATTCGATATTTCTCTAAAATGTGTAGCATAGTATGTTGCTGCCTTTAGCCACGTGCCCCACCTTGTAATTACAGGTTGTGGAGGCAGCGGCAAGTTTGGATACATGTTTTTTAAAATTCTGATCCGATTTGGGGATTTCAGAAATATCTTTTTGACATTGGATATTAAGGAATCAACATTCTCGTATTGTGAACGAATTTGTTCTGCCAATCGGTTAAGAGCATGAGCTAAACACGTTATATGAATAATGTTAGGAAAATCAATTTTTAATAGGCGTCCAGTTCGCAACATATATGCCACACTATCTGTGCATAACATTAACACATTACTTGTTTTCTCTTCAAATGATTCTCCCCACATATTTCTTAAAGATTCTATTACAAAATCGGACATAGTTATACTGTTCACTGTTTCTAGCATTTTACAAGCTATTAAATATGGTCTGGTAGCCACATTTTGTATAAGTGGCATCACCAATAAATTTACAACGTATCTTCCCAAAAAATCCGTGGATTCGTCAAGTGATAACCAAATCTTGTTGTTTCCGATTACATCGTAAGTAGCTTTTAATTGTGTTTGAAAAAATCTGTTAAAATATTGTTTCCGTAGCAATGATTCTGAAGGTACTGCCTTATTTGAGCAAGTACAACAACATTTTATACATATATACTTGTTGAAAAATTTTTGTAACGTTGGGTTACTCACTTGTGTCCAAGGTATGTTACATAATATTAAAAATTCTATTAAATCAAAATAAAACTCATCCGGGGTTCTTTTTCGTCGTCTTGTATGAAGTGCGTTTATGATGTGCCGATCTACGTTGCTTTTACGAGTAGCTTTTATGTGGGATTCACATATTGTACAAAATATGATACCACTTGCGGGATCGTAAACCAGTTCTGGGTAGTCGACAACCCAGCTATAAACCAGCTCTGATCTTGGTCTATTTTCCATAGTGATAATACCTAAAATAAAAAAAAGCTGCTAATGACCATGTCAAAACATTTTGAAACAGAGTTTTTAAAAGTACTTAATTATATAACTGCCTATTTCACAAAAATACATTTTAAACACATAGTTGGTAAATTAAGAGCCTGTTCTCTTAGGAGCGTTCGACGCGCGTTTTGCTAACGCGCGCTTAGAACTAGTCGAATTTTACTACTAAATAGCCGTATACATAGTTAAAAAGTACGTCTTAAGTTGCACTTTTAAGATCTTTTACGAAGTTCGTAACTTTATTAGATTCAGCGTGCCTAATTTTTTTTGTTTTTTTTTCTCTCTAAAGCCCGCCGTTTTTGGAAAAGATATTTATATTATTATTGAGGTCTCATATTTTTCATTTCATCATAAAAATACCACACGCAAATATCGTAAAACTCAGAAGTTATATTCAATTATAATTTTTTTCAGGGTAGTCACTTTTATGAAGGTACTTTTATATCTGGATGTTATGAAACGAGATAGATCTTTTAAAAATAAAATTAATAATTTTCTTCTTTAACATGTAGAATTACACATTCTTCATAATCATTTTTTTAAGTTAAATAGGTATTCTACTGTACGGTATAGGTATTACTGAGGTCTTTTCTCGGAAATCTGCTTTTTATTCCAAAAACCTATAGGTGTAACGATTAAAAATTGCAGTGTTATAGAAAAAATATATAATTTTGTAATTTGTGTAATTTTTTTCTGGATAAATTAAAAGAAAAAAATTATACTAAAATTAAAAACATTATAAGTAAATATTACATACGTAGTTTAAATGTATCTGTTTATTAGCACATTTTTACGAACCTCGGTAACTTTATTAGATTCAGGGTGAATTACTATTTTTAAATATTTATTTTAATTTTTTATCTCTAAAACTCTGCCGTATTTTCCCACTTTTTTTAAATAATTCTAATTAAAAAGATTGTCTAACTAAAAATTCAACAATAAATAATAAAAAATTCATTCTTACCTTGCAAGTGAAATAAATATGAAGTCCAAGTCGCAGGTAAAAGCTGGTTCAGGGATTCGTAGCGTAAAGTCGTCGTTTTAAGTAAATCAAAATCCAGATCGCAATGCAAATCAAAAACCGTTGTGAGATAGCCAAGTTGTCAGAAAATACAGAAAAACTCAAAATAACACCCGAACGCATGACAAGCACAACATCGAATAAGAACAATTACAAAAATTGTACTTAATGGGGTTACATGTAACTGCACGCAAGCAGGTATGTTGTCTCGTTCGCTCTTTTTTCCAGTTATCACTCAGACAATGAGATTAGCTTTAGAAACTAACAAAAAAAGATTTTTGTCTCACCACGCGGCACCCTTTGTCGCTTTCTTATCATCGCACGTTCTGGCACCACGCCGACATGGTGGTAACGTGGTCTTTTTAGATGGATTTGAATGGAGAAATTATGCTAGGTTCAATATTATCAGGCGTTTTTACTTGAATGTCAACAACAGGGATAATAAAGTTAACCCTCATAAAACATTTTTAAAGCAGGGATTTCGGTGTTGTCTTGTTTTGTAATATGATGCAATAATAACCGGCATATCATGATACTTTTCAACATTTTTATAATCAAATCATCAAAAATTTTGACTTCTTTTATTACTTTGCAAGTTACATAATTAAAATGCAATAGTGCGTTGTATTATTTATTAATAAAGTCATAAAATATAAATAAAAAAAGTTTAGATAGCAAATTTAAATTTGCAAATATTTTTACACTGAAGATAAGAAAATAGCAAATATCAAATTCGTTTGTAGTACAGCCCACAAAATCAAGCCGTAGTTGTCAAACAAAGCCGGTGAAATTCCAAAATAACAAGCCGGGGTCAACACTTTAGTTTCACAACACGTGCGCACTCAGCAAAAGATTTTACAAGAGTTTTTTGCACGGATATTTCGCTGCAGAAATAAGTAATAGCTTCTCTTTCACACAACGTGGAAAGCCGTAACTGTTATCTCTTTTACACAGTACAGAAACAAGATAAGATAAACTATAAAAACCGTCGATATTTAACAAAGGGCAAAGGTTGTTTAGTTTTAGTTTAATTTTCTGGTTTTTTTTAATACCAGAATGTTGGTTAGTAAGGTCGATTATGTTTAAATTACCAAGTCAAATATTTCAATACGGAACCAGAACATATAAATGTACCATTTTTCACCGAAATTGCATCACCTCATTTTGGCAGTTCATCTTAAAAAAAAACTCATCAAAGTGTCCGTTTGACCACAACGAAGTCTGATAAAAACTTGAAAAATTTTTATTTTGTGTGACGAACATCTTGTTTTTACCATTTTATGTATGTAGTACTTATGTTTATGTTAATAACAGCATCAGCGAAGACTGCTACACATTCTGTACCGATCTTAGATATATTTCTCCTTTTGAAAGAACAATTACTTTAGTGAGTCAAACTAAACACTATAATTATTATAAATAAATACCTACGTATAAATAAAACGTAATACAACAATATTAATTTTATTCAGTAGTATTATGAATTTATTCAATAGTAATTTAAATTAGTTCAAGTAATACGTATCCCGGGATATTTTTTGATCATATCACGAAATGGGTATGTCCATACTAAGAAAACGTTCAAACTTTAGGTATAAAAACTCCCTCAATTCCGATCACTGGTAATGACATACGGTAGAATAGTTTTTAAACAAATTAAATGACATTTCGTCTCTATTTTTGGTTATATAGTCGATGATTCTCAATAGCAAAATTTTATCGGAATATATTGAACAGGGAAAATTTTAACAACGCGTTTTAGAATTACCGCCAAGTGGGTAACGGATGGGACGCAACAATATAATAGTAGTATAGCAACAGCAGCTTCGATAGTTGTTCGATAATGAGTTAGTTATACGTTGCGTAACAATAATGCATTACAATATCTGTTATTGCAATAACGATCACCTCTACCTCTCTTAAACATTATGCGCTTTCTTAAATCACGCCAAAATAATGGCGGCTACAGTTTTTACAAAGATTATTTTTATTGTAAGTATATTATGAAAAAAAACGAAGAAAGAAATAGTGATGAAGAAAGTTAGAACTACAGTCCTTATTTTAAACCAAACTACAAAAGATTTTATCCTGAAAATTCCACTAATTACGAATTCAAAGTTTTTGTTCAAAGTTTTTGTCAATAATGTGATTTAAGTGAAAGTGAAAACATAAATATTGACTCCCGACGCTTAAAAGACTATTTAGAAAACCCAAACAAGAGAACTAAGTTATTTAAGAGAAAGGAAAACATAGTGTATACTTGAACTACAATGGAAAATATTTATTGAGGGTCCCGATAATTAAACAAAGACATGGCTCAAAAAACTTGTATCCAAGCCAAAACTCATAATAAAAAAAATATGTCACGTCACTCAATAATCCGGCCGATTTGGAGGTCCATAGCGCTGCTTCACGAACAGGTTTATTTCGAACGGTTTAATAGTAAGTACATTATATGTTGTGATGGATAAATAAGAAATTGCCAACCAGAGTTTGTTAGAAGCCCGAAGCCGAAGGCTGAGTGAGAGCTTTAATGACTCGAGGTTGTAATTGTTACCGCCCGTGCTACATACAATGTTTTTCATCACATTTGCGAGGAAATAGATACAACGATAGATTTATTTCTTGTATGAATAAACATCGCTTCACAACATTTACGAATTTTGCAAATGGCTGGTTTTTGTTCTTTTTTTTAAACAGATTGCCAGTTATTCTTCCATGGATACAACTAAGTACAACTCGAACAAAAATGTTATAAAAGGCACAGAAAACACTGCAGAATTTGAATTAACAAAATAAAATTTGTAAAATATAGTCAAAAAACAAATGTTAATATCGAGTTCTTAGGTTTTCGCGATTGTTACACATAGGTTCAAGATTGTTATCAGTGGTCGATAAAGTAACTGGTGAAGAAGTTGAACGATAAGGTGTCAATTTATTAAAAAATGTATCAATCGGAAATGAAACTGTTTTGCCGGATTTAAATCGCGTATATTTGTTTTTTTCAAACAAACCGACGTTTCGGGCCTTTTATAGGTCCCATAGTCACGGTTGACTGATGATGGCACCTGTAAAGGGCCCGAAACGTCTCTTTGTTTGATAAAATAAATATACGCGATTGAAATCCGGAAAAATAGATTCATTTCATAAATAAATATTTAGTTTTTTTTTAGACTTCAAGTTTATGCGACATATACGTTCAGATTTTTCGAGCATAAAAACTTTTTACATAATCTTGACGTAAAAACCTATAGGGGGATAAAGCAATGACAAAGCCTGTGGGCAAAGGACATTACGGTCGACTTTGCCTGCAAGTCACGACACTGTTTACGAGCAAGTGTGATGAAAAGGTTAACGTTTGCATACTTACATATGGAATTGGCCAATCTATTCACTAACAATTTGATCTTTTTCTGTTTATCTTCTTGCTTTATTATGTCGACAACTTTCTGGACTTTACATGACGCGACGTCTTTCTTGGGTTTGTTTTTGTGCTTTTGGATTTTCTGAGGACGGTCCTCTTTTTTCATGTTTAAGTGTACCTCGATTGTTTCTTCTTTCACTGAAAAATTGAATGAAAAAATCATAGAACAATTAATGATCTCTTACGTGGGAAATGAGAGGCTGGAGAGAGTCGATCAGAACGTCTATCTCCGACGCGTTCTATCCTTTGGCAAAGAGCCTCAGCCTAAGAATATCTCAAAAAGAATCCAGCTGGAATGGCCTTCGTTTGGCAAGTTAGATGACATCATTAAATTAGATCTGGGGGTGGATTCAGAACCTTACAATAACTCCGTTGTCAACCGATTCGATTAGATATCGTACGATTTCTTTTCATTTTTATTCACAACACCCGAATGGAACGTCAAACTGTTGTATTCGAAACCGAACCGAAATGACGTCACACCCGTACGATTACTCGAACTTCTCGACCGGCAAAGGCTACAAACGTTATTCAGAACACAGTTATCGAATGAGTTACGCAGTCCTATTGTTTATAAAGCAAGAATGTAATATGGAAATCTCTTATTATTTTAAATAAAGTCTAGATTTTGTTCAATTTTATTAATTTATTTTCATGCAAGACTAATGAATTCCTATATTTCAGGCCTTTAAAGTCTTACAAATGTATATACAAGGATTTTAATTTTTCTTATAATCTATTTCACCGACTAACTCGGTAAACGCTGTTGGATAACGATATAGTATCTGAATCCGAATCGAAAGTTTAACTCAAAGGTTCAGATCGAACGATTCGGTTAAAATATCGAAGAGTTCTAAATCGGAGCCAAGGGTCCACAGAGTCTGAAGACCCCCCTGTATGGTGCCGAGACATGGAAGCTCACGCACGGAGACTGAACAGGTTGAGAGCGCCATGCTCGGCATCAACCTTGTAGATCGAGTTCCGAACGTTGAGACGACGGACGAAAGTCCAGGACGCTGGAACTCGGATCATGGAACTCATACGGGATGAGCTGGACACATAGCAAGGAAAGATGATGACAGGTGGAGCAAGACTGGTTGGTGGTCGAGGATAGGCAAAAGAAGTGGATGAAATCAGGCTGTGTATGATGATGACCTTCTACGTAGAAGACCTGGTTTCTGTACCGGATGATCTTCTTCACTATCATCATCATCATCATCAGCCCATTTGTAAGTCCCACTGCTGAGCACGGGTCTCCTCCGCCTCGCTGCTGGTTGGCGACTTAACACTTTTTCCGAGGATTGTGAACCTTCTCCGAAGTGCATGCAGGTTTTATTACGAGACTTCCTTCACCGAAAATCTCATAGTAAATTTAAAATAAAATTTCGCACATAAATTCTGAAAAACCTACGAACTGATTCGAACCCACTTAGGCTGCCACGGTTTCTATCATCACGGCCACTATCAAGTTTATTAAGGCGAAATGGTATCGTGGTGGTGTATGTATCACGGAGAAATGTACTTTAAATATGTGTTAAATATTTTATTAATTTGTTTTCACACTACACACACTCATACCTGTATGTATATATTGCAAAGATTATGTAAGTATTTATTCGATATAAGAGTACACACTGCAATAACACTATACACACTCATGATTAAGTATTTAC